TGAGAAGGGATCGTGAGCTCCATGAACAGCTGGTAATATGCACTGGGGGCCTTTTCTTCCCTAGAAATATATTTCAACTCCTAAAAGAGTCCATGTGCGTTAACATTATTAAAATCTGAGAATTCTTTCTATTGGAGACAATCCAGATACTCCAATTTCACCTGCAGATTATCAAATAAACAAATGGGTACAGTCTTGGAAACCCAGGAAAAAATCATTTGCTTTCCCTGGAATGATTTCCCCGTGTGATCAGGTCTTAACCATAATGCAATTCCATTTTACATTATTGAAATATTTTTCATATTTTGTTTGGCCTCTTAAAGGACTTAATAGTAAACAGAAGAAAACCTAAACTATCAGTTGACAGTAGTACTTAAGAAAGCATTGATTCCCAGCTCGCAGATCCATGTTTCTGTGCTTTTGTGGGAGGCTGAAGGACGTGGATTACTGTGAATCGGAAGCCAGCCTAGGCTACAAAGTGAGTTCAGAGTGAGTGTCTCAAAAAGACAAAAAAGTGTGGATTAAAAATGATCAAATGATTGCAACCTGAAATAAATAATCATTGCATTTAGAGAACAAGGCCAGGCAGAAATGAAAGTGAAAGCAGTTACTGGTGCCATGGCAGTTTCTGTGGCAGGGCAGATGTCAACTTCAGTGGGTGCGCAGAAGCCAAGCAAATGTCACTGTTAGCTTTGATGTGACATCCTCAGAACAGACCAACAGAGTTTCCTGGAAAACGGTTTGGAGGTGACTTAATATAAAGAAAGAAGGAAGGAAGTGAGGAGGAGGTAGAAAGGCGTGAAATGAAGAAACGTAGGAATGAGAACTCTGAGACAATTTAATGCGGGCAGGTAAAATCTCTAGAACGACAAAAATATTTGCAAATTCCTGGACACGAAATCTAGACGTCAGAAACAGAAAAACACAAATAGTAGATAATACATTAGAATTCTTGGTTTCAGAATTTGATCTGTATTTCAGAAAGTAATAATACCAATATGTAAAGAGCATATTAACAGACAATGTGATTTTGGATGCTATTTCTATGATATCGGTAAATTAAATAGTAGTTTTCCAATTTTTAGTTTTTATAATAATGACTCACATACAACTCTGCACTATACACCACTTACAAAATCCTAGTTGGTTTTATCTTCCTGAGAAGCACACCAGACAACTGTAATTATTCCCATTCATACACAAAAAGTCTGAGGGTGAGAAAGGGTAAGTTGCCCAGCAGAGCCAGCTCAGACTGCTCTCAAATCTCTTCAGCTTTGATGACTCCCAACCGCCACAATTATATTTACTGAGAAATTTCCATAGAGTATCCTTTAGAATCCACCCCACAGCCTCTTGAGATTGTAACTTTCCTCAGTCCAATTCTACAGAAGAGAAAATGGAAGCACATAACTGTAACCTCAGTACTCGGGGAGGCTGAGGCAGAAAGACTGCAAGCTTGAGGCCACCCTAAGCAACTTAATGGGACCCCATCTCAAAATAAAAAATAAAAAGGTCTGAGACTGTAGCTCAGTGCAAAAACCCTGGGATCGATCCCCAGTGCCAAAGAAGGGCAGAAAGAAAAAGTGAGGAGAAAATGAAAGAGAAGACGGAAGGGGAGGGGAGGGGAGGGGAGGGGAGGGGAGGGGAGGATGAACCTTAAAGAAATTAAATAATACCAAGGTTGCCTGGCCAGTAGGGTGGTGTTGGGATATGAGTTTAGATAAACTGATATCATACTTAGCCATCAGATGCTTCAATATCCTGCACACATTTTAAACACTCCTGTAGGATGATCGCAAAACTAACATTTAATAAATGTGAATAAGTGCTTTGGCCGGGGGTTTAGCTCAGTGATATAAGCACTTGCCTGGCAAGCACGAGGTCGTGAGTTCAATCCCTGGTACAAAAACAAAAAGTGCTTTGTTCTGTGGCAATCTTAACATGAGATTGGTATCAAAATCAAGTCAGGTAATTTTTAATGCAGAGAATCGTTGGTTCTGTTTTATTTTCATTTTCTCATTTGGGTGGAAATATGCTGTAATGAGTTAAATGTGACGAGTCCCTTAAAATAGTCTTTTGAAAGTGGAAATTTAAAACGCCTATGCTTGGTCTTTCTTCTAGTGTAACAGTAAATTAGCAAATTAAGAGTAATGTTCTAAATATAAGACAGTAAAGAAGGTGCCTGGAAACCCTAACCACCCAGACGGCGAGGACTATGCATATTTACAGATTTGCAGAACCTGAGCAAAAGGGCTTGATAAGAATTGAAACTCAGCTGGTGTGGTCACTTACGCCTGTAATCCCAGCACTGGGGAGACTGAGGCAGGAGGATCGTTGCGAGTTCGAGACCAGCCTGGGCTACAAAAGTGAGCTCAAGGCCAGCCTGAACTGCATAGCGAGACCCTGTCTCAAAAAAAAAGAATTGAGACTCAGGCAACAAACAGGAAAAATAACAAAGTTTGAACAACTCAACTTACTTCTCTTTTTCCGCTCTCTTCTGGCACTTTAACTTTTATGATAAATTGGTAAATCACAATTATCTAACAACTGAGAGTTACTCTCAAAAAAAAAAAAAGTGTGCTGTAAAACTAGAATTACACGGAGTAGATGACACTACGATGTGAGCCTACGACTCAACCAAGCGCAGTTTCTGGCTTTTCTTGCTCACGCAGAGCACTGGCTCCCTCGAGCCCTCCCTTTGGGGAGTCAGTGAGCTGGGCGGCTTCCCCACATCCATCTCGCTGTGTCAGCACGTGGCTCGCGGGTCACAGCTGCAGGAAGAGGAAGGCGGCACAAAGGGCCGCGCAGGGGCTCACTGATGCCTCTGTTTAGAAATGGTACCCATAGTTCAGTGCCTACCACCTAACTCATAGGCAAGCGTGGCAGGAAACGTAAGGAAAGACACACACATGGTGGGTAGTAAATGTGTTTGACACAGGGCAGTACACACGTGCTTCTTTGTGTGGGTTTTTTTTGTACCAGAATTCGAACTCAGGACCTTGTGTTGGGAGGCAGATTCTTGTGCTGCTGAGCTATATCTCCCACCCACACACGTCTTTCTTTACTACCATGACTACCTGTGTTACCACATACTGCCTATGTCAGGTTATTGAATCTTTCATTTTTGCTAAGGAAGAATTTTTTGTTTTATTAATCAATTTTATGAAAATTGCTTTTGCACTGAGTGTAGTGGTGCACACCTATAATCACAGCTCTCAGGAGGCTGAGGCAGGAGGATCATCAGGAGTTCCAGCCTGGACTACAAAGTGAGTTCAAGGCCAGCCACAAGTACTGAGCAAGACCATGTCTCAAAAATAATTGTTTTGCTTCATTAATTTTGCTTTTATCTTTAATCTGCTATAAGTTCATGTACTCTTTGGGGTTTACTTTGTTGTTTTTATCTTTATTTTCAGTCTGTTTTGTTAACAAAACATCAGGCTATTTGAAAACTGGGAGCATGGTTCAGTAATAGAGTGTTTCATAATTACTTTCTGGGTTCAGTCTCTAGCACAACAGGGATGATGGGAGATTAAAGCTATAAATTTCCCTCTGTATACCACATTGGACACTTTCAGGAGATATGACACATATTACTCTCACTGTGATGTATTCTGAACATTTCATAGTTTTACTTTGATTCTCTTTTTATTCAGGAAGTTAGGGATGCATGCACTATGTTCATTTCTAACTGTAAAAATTTTGAATGTCTTTCTTTCCTTGTTAACTTATCACTGTATTACATTGTAACCAAAACACTGTACTATATATGAAATTTTAAAAATGTTTAACTTCTTGAATGTTCTTTGGTAGCCTGTTTTTGCTACATTTTCTCACTCTTTAATATGAGATAAAGACTTCCATTGTATGGTGATATTAAATAACTGTATCTTGGTCATCTCTGTATTTCATATATCACAGAAAAGTCACTCAATAAATGTGGGTGGTTAGAAAAGCCAACAGTCACTCATGCAACTATTAGCATCCTTATAGATGGAGGTCTGCATCACAGAAACAAAAAAAGTGTGTTGTAAAAAAAACATTGCTTCATTGTCTGAAATACCAATGACTTGTAAGACAATGCTATAGTATTTATGTTACTTTTGTAACTTCTCCCCATGTAAAATATTAACCCTACAGTAAATACTTCATATTTACTTCCTAAAATGCAGCTTATAAGCATGCATATTAATTTCTTATTGCAGCTATGATAAATTACCATAGAATTAGTGGCTTAAAACAACAACTTACAGGATACAAAATTAACGCACAAAAATCAGTAGCATTCTTGTTCATTAATAATGAACCCACTGGGAAAGAAATCAAAAATAACCCCTTCTCAATAGCTTCAAAAAATCTAAGTACCGGGGGCTGGGGATTTAGCTCAGCAGCATAAGCGCCTGCCTTGCAAGCAGGCAGTAGTGAGTTCGATCCCCGGTACTGGTAAAAACAAAAAAGACCAAAAAAAAAGTAAGTACCTAGAAATCAACCTAATCAAAGACCCCTGCAATGAAAATTACAGAATACTAAGAAAGAAATAGATGAAGATATTAGACAATGGAAAATGGAGCTTCCTTGCTCACGGGTTAGAACTAATACTGTGGAAATGGTCATATTACCAAACTACAGAGTCAGTAAAATCCCTACTGAAATTATCAACAGCATTCTTTTTTTTTTAATTTAAAGGAAAAAAACAGATAAAAAGGATAGAGTCAACAGCATTCTTCACAGAACTAGAAATAACAGTCCTAAAGTTTATGTAGAATCAGGAAAGCCTCAGACTAGCCAAAACAATCCTGAGCTAAAGGAGTGGTCCTGCAGTCGTCAGAATACTGTGCTGGATGTCTAGCTACACTACACTGGCTCAGTAATGGAAATGACATGACGCTGACACAGAAATGAGCAGGCAAGCCAGTGGAACGGCACCCAAGACGTGGAAACAAACTATGCACTGTTATAACGTGGGCCCCGGTATAAAGTCCACGGAAACAAGAGTCCAAAACTTAAGTGGCAAAGGCTTTATTGAGCCAGTCCTGGCGGCACAGTCTCTCCTAGATCAAACCAAAGACTGCGCGCCCCAGACTGGGGAAAGGGGTTTTTAAAAGTAAGGGAAAGTGGGGAGGAAACCTGTAAGGCCATTAAACCTGTTGACCCGCATCTGGAAACTGTATTGCTGTCCACTTAGCTCTGACAGTCCCGGGAGTTCCTGGTGTTGCTCAAATTACTCCCATCCTGCAGACTGACATTATCTCAGAGTGGCACATCTGCAGCAATATTTGGGGAAGAAAGTGGAGAGTTAATTATCCCAGGACAGCTTGTCTTCGCCAGTGAGTGCGAAGGGGTCACGAGTTATGAGATGCTGGAACTTAAGTTTTACAAAGATCTGATATCTAACCCATTGGTACATACAGAACAAAAGGAAAGCACCAATCGGGGTTTGGGCCACAGTATTTCCCGGTAATTTCTTTGAAGCTAAACAGTTCTTAAAATTGGGGCAGGCTCATTTTATGACAGATCATCACCAGGTCGGGGAGAGGTCACCAGAAACCCAAATTCTTTATGGCCCAGATAGGTGGGTGGGGGGGAGGCAATAAGGCGCGCTACAGAACAGGAAAACGGCGAGTATCTATCTTGTGGGAAGAGTAACTAAGGTTAGGTAAAAAGGTTAAACTCATGGGCAAATCTCCCTGCATATAAACACACTACTTCAAACAATGTGTAAATTAGTGGGCCTTCTTGTCTTCTTTAGTTCTTTAGCGAAGACTAGAGGCGCCTACCCGTGATTAACAGCCCTTGTTAGCTTGTTTTAGCACCACTCTTCTTGTTTGTAGAGGGCCGCTCCGTGATTAACATTTCAATTAAGTGAAATTCTTGCAATTCTTTACAGGGGAGAGTATTGCTCAACATATCAATTGGGTCACTTAACATATCAGTTAAGAAAAGAAAACATTTAGTAAGCCGCGGTACAGGTTTGCTATAATACACAAAATGATGAAGCTACTTTCTTAGAGTACAACATTCCCCTCTGATGTTGTGACTTCTGGGCCAAATCCTTGGCCGTACTTAAGGTCTGCTGGGGACAAGCTCATACGCTTGTTGCCTGACCATCATTAATTTTATACTTTGTACCTGACGCTTGACATATGCAGTCAGCCTATTTACTATGCAGGGGCCCAAAGTGGCTAGCACTAGAATCACAATGATAGGACCGGCTACGGTCGCTATTATGTTGGTTATCCACGGTGGGAAGGAGAACATTTGCTCCGCCCACCCTAGAGCTCCTTGTCTTAGTCTCTCTCTTTCTTGTATGCCTCTTTGGAGTTCCGCTAAGTTTTGTCTAACTACCCCAGACTTATTGGCGTACAAGCAGCATTGCTCTCCCAGGGCCAAGCACAGTCCTCCTTTTTCAGCAAGCAAGAGGTCTAGTACTCTGCGATTTTGGAGAGCTACTTCAGCTAATGAGTCCATTGAACTCTCTAAGGCCTCAATAGCATTTTGGACTCTTTTTATTTCTTCATCTACCTGTTGAGATAGCATATTGTATTGGTGTATGCTAACTCCCATGGACGCAGCACTCATCCCGAGGGCTGAGAATACACTGATCCCAGCCATAATAGGGAGGGCTGGACTTCTCTTATTGATCTGGTGACTGGCTGAGATGAGAGCCCGGTTCCCTTCTTCCTCGGAGTGCCAGTAGATTCTAGGCAGAACCTGGGTTAGTACACACACCTCATCCTGGTCAACAACGAACTTTTTTGAAATCATACAAGGGAACCATCCTGAAGTACAAGCCCACCAATGGCTGGCCGGGGCTATTAGGGGAGTAGCGTCACCAGCTCCTGTGATGCGATAAGAGTGAGAAAGGTCGCAATACTCAGGGGCTGTGTGGCTAAAATGATATATGCAGGTACCAGTTATCCCCTCTAAACTGGTGCCTTTCCATAGCGATTGGGGAAGGAGCATTTTGCATCTAGAGGGATCGGAGGCTAGTTTATCAGTGACCGTGATGTAGCCCTCATAGAAGGGGGGCTCTGGGGACATGCACAGCCAGCATGGGATTTTTAAATCGCTATCAAGGGAACTGTTAAGTAGCTCAGCTGCTACTTCCAAAGGTTGGAATATTTCCGCTATCATTGAAGGTGGGGCGGAGGCTTTGGGCTCAGTCTGTGCCCGTCTAGACCTTCTCAAACCAGTTTTTGTAGCCCTTGTTGAAGGTTGCATCGAGGTTGGATCGAAGCTAGGCACTCTAATCTCTATCCAGTATGGGATGCCCCCTTTCCCCCTCCATTTACACAGCTTTATCTGGGGCTGGTCTGTGTGGTAAATGCTCCCATTGTATGTGGCCTCAGTCACTTTAGTCGTCGGAGTGTGCCTCCGGGGTCGACTGAGTGGGAAATTAATGGGTGCCTTCTGAGTGGGGGCTGTCACTGGGCGGCGTCCTCTCCTGTAAATGACTACAGGAGGCTTTCTAGGTGGCTTGTATAAGATATTGATACTAATTCCAGGATCATGTCCAGATTTATAAATTTTAACAGCGTAAGTAAGTCCCTGCCCCAGCCACCTAAAATCCGTTGGATTTAGAAAGGTCAGCTGGACTGGGTTACAAGTATAAACACCATAACAGTTTTTGTTTCCTATGTACTTGACAGCGAGATACTTTTCAGAGTTATAGTATCCATCTAGGCCTCCTGTGACACATGACCATGAATAACAATATTGATGTTTTGGATCGGAGGCACAGTACACATTATAATTGGGGTCAGGCTGGTTTTTAGGACATACATACAGGGATGCCTGCTTGAGTTGGAACATAACTTGCAGAGCTTTAGGCCCACGGCCCGAGCAGAGGTTACGGTGGACCGACCCACCTACCCTGCCAGTTGGGCTGTCATCATTAATTATTATCCCATTGAAAAGTATACATAGGTCAATGGTGACTTGATTTATCGTGCCTTTAGCTCTCCCTAGTTCCCTTTTAGTTTTCTCGTCTGAAACAATCCAGTCCCCATTCCCGGGGTTTACAATTATAATCGAGCACCAAGCCAAATACCATAGTACAGACATAATTTTATGGCTGAGAGTCCTTTACAAACTTTAACTTTAATGGGTTACCAGTCCGTTGTACTGTCCATCGGGGACCCTTTTCGTCGTCTGTAGCTTCCAGTGGTTTGACTTGTGTGTGGTGGATCCACGCAGTCTTTCCTGCTACCTTGACGGAGGTGGGAGTGCTGAGCACCACGGTGAACGGTCCCTCCCAGCGCGGCTCAAGCGAATCCCGGTGGTGTCGTCGCACCAGGACCGACGTTCCTGGCTCAATTGACGCTTGGGGCAGCGTTCCCAAGGGGGGGTTCGGATGTTTTTGTCTGAACAGCCGGTGAATTGAGGTCAGTACAGGCTGGAGACTCTGTAAGGACTTAATGAGATCTTGGTTAGTTACTTCGGCTAATTTGTCTTCTGACAACTTAGGAACTATAGGTGGGGGTCTCCCGAACATAGCCTCAAAGGGGGAGATCCCAGAAATATATGGGGTGCATCTGGCCCTCAGCAATGCAAAGGGAAGAAGGCTCACCCAATTGTCACCAGTTTCTAAAGACAGCTTAGTCAAAGCGTCCTTAATGGTCCGGTTCATGCGCTCTACTTGTCCCGAGCTTTGTGGCCGATAGGCACAATGGAGTTTCCAACTGATTTTCAATACTTGGGCTAACTTTTGAGTAACTTGGGCTATAAAAGCCGGGCCATTGTCGGACCCCATTGATAATGGGAGGCCAAATCGGGGTATAATCTCATGTAGTAGCTTTTTAACTATAACCAGGGCTGACTCAGACTTAGTGGGGAAGGCCTCTACCCAGCCAGTGAATGTGTCTACCATCACCAGGAGATAGCGGTGTCCCTGCAAGCCAGGTTTTACCATATCCGTGAAGTCCACTTCCCAGTGTTCTCCTGGGGAGGTTCCTCGATACCGGGTGGTTTCCAGTGGAGGTTTCCTGGTTGGGTTGACCAACAAACACTGTGGACATCTAGAGCTCAGAGAGGCAGTTAGTTTGGAGAGCTTTGGAATGAAAAATCGATCTCTGAACAATTCTGCTAGTTTAGTTCCTCCTAAATGAGTAGCCTGATGAGCTTGCTGCAAAAGCTCTCGTCCTAGTGCTTCGGGTAACAGCACTCGCTTGTCGGGCAGCTGATACCAGCCCCCTGGAGTGCGGGGTTTGGCTCCAAGTTGAGATGCTAGCTGTAAATCTGTCTTCGAATAAACAGGCTCTGACAAGGCTTGAGGGACTAGCATCAGGGCAGTCATTTCCTCTGCAGGCCCCTCTGATGTGGTTGCTATTTTTCGGGCAGCCTGATCGGCCAAATTGTTTCCTATGATGATGGGGTCATCTCCCACTTGGTGTGCCTTGCAATGAATAATAGCGACTTGCTGAGGTAGCCAGACAGCTGCTAGCAAGTCTAGGATCTGTGGGGCATTTTTAATCTTAGTCCCGGCCGAGGTCAAGAGACCGCGTTCATGGTAAATAGCTCCATGTACATGTACAGTAGCAAAAGCATATCTGCTGTCTGTGTAGATGTTTACCCTCTTTCCTGAGGCTAGCTTTAATGCCTCTGTCAGAGCAATGAGCTCTGCCTTTTGGGCAGAAGTGCCAGGCTCTAACTGCTTAGCCCAGAGTACCTCTTTCTCGGTGGTCACTGCTGCGCTGGCCACTCGCCTCCCGTCCTGAATGAAACTGCTTCCGTCGGTGAAATAATTGTAAGCGTCCTTAAAAGGCTGGTCGGTTAGATCAGCTCGCAAGTTCTGCTGTAACTCGAGAATGTCAGCACACTCATGGAGAGGCATCTGTTGGTTTTCTGGGTTATCGTCGGGCATGAGAGTGGCTGGGTTTAGAGCTGAGGAGGTCTTGAAAACTACTGATTCTGGGTCTAGAAGCAAGGCCTGATAGTGTAGAATTCTGGCATTTGAAAGCCATTTTTCTGGGGGGGTTTTAATAAGAGTCTCTAGGCTGTGGGAGGTTACCACAGAAATCTTTTGTCCAAAAGTGAGCTTCTTAGCCTCTTTGAGTAGCATTGCCACAGCGGCCAAAATTCTCAGGCACGGAGGCCACCCTCCTGCCACTGGGTCGAGTCTTTTAGAAAGATAGGCTATAGGTCTCTTCCAAGGGCCAATATCTTGAGTCAGAACCCCTTTTGCTATGCCTCTGAGTTCATCTACGAACAAGGTGAAGGGTTTAGTAACATCAGGGAGCCCCAGGGCTGGAGCCTCAGTCAGAGCTCGCTTGAGCTGTTGGAAAGCCTGCTCGCACTCATCTGTCCAGTCGAGCGACTTTTGAGTCTCTCCCTTTAAAGAGTCATACAATGGGCGAGCGATTTCAGTAAAGTTTAGAATCCATAGTCTGCAGTATCCGACAGCTCCCAGAAACTCCCGCACCTGTTTCTTAGTTTCTGGGGATGGGATTTGTAATATGGCTTGGATTCTTTCTTTTGATAAAGTCCTCTTTCCTTCTTGTAATTTATAGCCCAGGTAAGTCACGGCCTGGCGACACAGTTGAGCCTTTTTAGCCGAGACTTTATAGCCTAATCGTCCCAAAGTCTTTAACAACTCCTCAGTTGCCTCTTGACATGTTTCTAGGGACGTTGAGGCTATCAACAAATCATCTACATATTGAAGGAGCACTATCTCGGGGTGTTCCTCTCTAAATCCTAAGAGATCTCTTGCTAACGCCTCGTCAAAAAGGGTGGGAGAGTTCTTGTAGCCCTGAGGTAAACGTGTCCAGGTCAGCTGTTCCTTTACCCCTGTATCTGGGTCAGTCCACTCGAAGGCAAATAGGGGTTGACTCACCGGAGCAAGAGGCAGGGTGAAGAAGGCATCCTTCAAGTCCAGGACAGAGTACCAGGTGTTCTCCGGATTAAGGAGGCTGAGCAGGGTGTAAGGATTTGGCACTGTTGGGTGTAGAGTCAGCACTCGTCTATTAACCTCTCGGAGATCCTGTACAGGGCGATAGTCATTCGTCCCCGGTTTCTGAACTGGGAGCAAGGGCGAGTTCCAGGGAGAGACACAAGGAATGAGAATATCATTGTCTCTTAGTCTCTGTATGTGGACTTTAATTCCTTTCCGGGCTTGCAGGCTTATTGGGTATTGCCTTAAGCAGATGGGGCGTGCCTGAGGCAAGAGTTCTACCACATGGGGGACTTGGTTGACTGCTAGCCCTGGAGGGTTGTTTTCTGCCCAGACTTCTGGAATCTCCTGTTTCCATTTGTTCAGCAGTTCTAATTCTAAGTCAGTCCGTGACAACTCGGGTGCACCAGACAAACTTCCCAGCAGGCGGTAACTTTCTCCTTCTGGGACAAGAGCCAACACTCTAATACCCTCTGATTTTGAGGGGGTATCAGTCCCTAGCTTCAGTCTAGGTTCATTCGTAACAAAGTCAATTTGCACCTGTAATTTATGTAGAAGGTCCCGCCCTAAAAGGGGATCCGGGCACTCAGGGACCCAGAGAAAATCATGTTGGACCAGTCTATGTCCAGGTCGAGCCAGACTAGCTGTCACCTTTGGGTACGATTTTCGGCCCCCTGTAGCTCCTATCACATTGACAGATTGCTTGGTCAGTTTTCCTAATGGTTGAGTCAGCACAGAATAGGTAGCTCCTGTATCGACTAGGAAGTCCACCGGTTGCCCCCCCACTTGGAGAGTTATCCGGGGCTCGGGGGGTGGCGGCGAGCCCTGACCTCCTCATTTCTGAGACAACAGGGCCTTAGTCTCTCGTTCTGTCTTAGGCTTTAACTTTGGACAATCCTTACGCCAATGTCCCATCTCCTTACAGTACGCACATTGCTCTTTGTCTAGAGGAGGTCGCTTACCTCGAGCTTCCTTTTTCCTAGGGTTAGCTGACCTCTTGGCTTCTTTTTCGCAAAGTAATTCCAGTACTTTAGTCATCCTTTTGGTTGTTGTTTCTTGCAAGGTTTCCCTATTGTTGAAAACCTTTTGTGCGACCTCGACCAACTGGCTGAGAGGCATTCCCTCGAATCCCTCAAGCTTTTGTAACTTTCTCCTAATATCAGGGGCCGACTGGGACACGAAAGCAATATTAATTGCTCGTGCGTTCTCGGGTGCCATCGGATTGATTGGAGTATATAATCTATAGGTCTCTAAAAGGCGCTCTAAGAACACCGCTGGAGACTCATCGGCTAACTGCTGCACTGCACTCACTCGGGAAAGGTTGGTGGGCTTCTTAGCAGCTGCACGAAGTGCATCTAAGAGCCTCAGGCGATACTCATCGAGAGCCTTCTTACCTGCATCCGTGTTAGGGTCCCACTCGGGTCGGGAGGAGGGGAACAAGTGCTCAATTCGTTGCCGATCAGTGGATGGAGATCCATCCGGTTCTCGGACTCCCTTTTGCCCCAAAGCGCAGATTCGCATCCTTTCCTCAGCCGTGAAAAGGATGCGTAAGATCTGCTGGCAGTCATCCCAAGTGGGAAGGTGGGTGGAGAAAACAGACTCTATAAGGCTAATCAGAGATTCTGGGTCCTTCGAGAAAGGGGGGTTCTGACTTTTCCAGTTATAGAGGTCAGAGAAAGAAAAGGGGGTGTACACAAACATGGAGCCCCCACTCGGGGCTGGGACCTCCCGCAGAGGACACAGTGGCGCTGCCTCGTGGCCCTGTTCCAGAGGTCCCTCTGGTCGAGCGTGGCGGCGGGTTCGAATGGGCCGAGGCGGGGAGGGCGAGGTGGAGTCAGGTTGTGGCTCAGGGGCAGGATACGGGGGAGGGGGTAAGGGAAGGATGTCTAGCGGGTCGGAGAAGTCTTCGCTCGGAGGTAAGACTGGAGGTGCGTTGGGCTTGGAGGTCTCCTCTTCAGCCTTGGATTTCGGTTTGAGGGCTGCTAGGACTCCATTCGGAAGTGGCTCAATCCAAGGGGGAGCATCATAGATTGTATCTATCCAAGCCTGGATATAGACAATCTGATCGGGGTGAGCGGGGGGCCCAAATACATACTGGCGGACCGCTCGAGCTGTCTCCATATCAAAGGACCCAAAAGGGGGCCAGACTCCTTGGGTCCCCAGGGGCCACTCCTGTGTGACAAAGGTTGTTAGTCTGGCTTTGCGAACCCTTTCCCCATATCTCCCACCTCGCCTCTGGAATTCTTTAAAGTGGTCAATGACAAGGCTAAGGGGAGTGCTGGGAACAGATTCGTTCCGACCCATAATGGACTCGTTCTGACCCATAGCTGGTGGTGTCGCTGGTTTTGCTGGAAAAAAACTTAAAAGGCAAAGTTAGGGTTAAACAGAAAAACTACAGAGACTAGGCAAACGGTCGGAATCACCTTTGCCCACTCCGAATTCCAGGAAGGAGCTCCTAAGAAAGAAGGCTCTGTTAGAGTTAGGTGACCAAAAAGGGGAACAATTAGAACAAATGAACACACAGACCGACACACAAGACGAGACAGGACAAGACAAGCTGCAGCAGAATGGCCTTTGCTCAAAAATTAGTCAAATTTTGGGATCTGGAGGAATTAACAAATTTAACTAATGAAGTGGTTCCCCACCCAGGCGGAGTCACAAATGGCAAAAACCAATTGACTTCGTCCTCGGGGGCTTCACTTCCCAAATTAAGGGCGTCCCCTTCCGAACGGAGTGGTTCCTCACCCGGGGCAGATTCACAGATGGACAGAATTTGTCCGACAAACCAACTGACTCTGTCCTCGGGTGGTTCCCACTCCCAAATTGAGGGCGTCCCCTCAAAATTACAAATTGACCGCGGCCCAAACAAAACCTCCAGAGCACTTACTTTCAGATGTTCGGAAATGAGTCTGGAGTCTTGCTTCCATCCAGGGCGAGCCCCCAAATGTTATAACGTGGGCCCCGGTATAAAGTCCACGGAAACAAGAGTCCAAAACTTAAGTGGCAAAGGCTTTATTGAGCCAGTCCTGGCGGCACAGTCTCTCCTAGATCAAACCAAAGACTGCGCGCCCCAGACTGGGGAAAGGGGTTTTTAAAAGTAAGGGAAAGTGGGGAGGAAACCTGTAAGGCCATTAAACCTGTTGACCCGCATCTGGAAACTGTATTGCTGTCCACTTAGCTCTGACAGTCCCGGGAGTTCCTGGTGTTGCTCAAATTACTCCCATCCTGCAGACTGACATTATCTCAGAGTGGCACATCTGCAGCAATATTTGGGGAAGAAAGTGGAGAGTTAATTATCCCAGGACAGCTTGTCTTCGCCAGTGAGTGCGAAGGGGTCACGAGTTATGAGATGCTGGAACTTAAGTTTTACAAAGATCTGATATCTAACCCATTGGTACATACAGAACAAAAGGAAAGCACCGATCGGGGTTTGGGCCACAGTATTTCCCGGTAATTTCTTTGAAGCTAAACAGTTCTTAAAATTGGGGCAGGCTCATTTTATGACAGATCATCACCAGGTCGGGGAGAGGTCACCAGAAACCCAAATTCTTTATGGCCCAGATAGGTGGGTGGGGGGGAGGCAATAAGGCGCGCTACAGAACAGGAAAACGGCGAGTATCTATCTTGTGGGAAGAGTAACTAAGGTTAGGTAAAAAGGTTAAACTCATGGGCAAATCTCCCTGCATATAAACACACTACTTCAAACAATGTGTAAATTAGTGGGCCTTCTTGTCTTCTTTAGTTCTTTAGCGAAGACTAGAGGCGCCTACCCGTGATTAACAGCCCTTGTTAGCTTGTTTTAGCACCACTCTTCTTGTTTGTAGAGGGCCGCTCCGTGATTAACATTTCAATTAAGTGAAATTCTTGCAATTCTTTACAGGGGAGAGTATTGCTCAACATATCAATTGGGTCACTTAACATATCAGTTAAGAAAAGAAAACATTTAGTAAGCCGCGGTACAGGTTTGCTATAATACACAAAATGATGAAGCTACTTTCTTAGAGTACAACATGCACCTTCAGCCATCTGATGTTTTGAGCAAGAGGCCAAAAACACACTGGAGAAAAGACGGCCTCTTTAACAAATGGTGGTAGAAAATGGGTCTCCAGATGAAAATGGACCTCTAGACTGTAACTAGATTCTAATCTCTCACCCTGTGCTAAAATCAAACTGAAATGGATCAAAAGGCTTAAATGTAAATCCAGAAGCTTTGAAGTTGCTGTGAGATAATGTAGGGAAAACATCTGAAGCTACAGGCATAGGCAAAGACTTCCTGAATAGGACTCCAATAGCTCAGGAAATAATACCAAGAATCAACAAACGGGACTCCATCAAGCTAAAAGCTCCTACAAAGCAAAGGAAACAATCAGAATGAAGAGGCAACCTATAAAACAGAAGAAAATATTTGCGGTTACTTTTCTGAAGAGGACTAATCTCTAGAGTATGTAAAGAACTCAAAAAGCAAATAACCCAACCCAAAAATGGACAAATGAACTGAATAGACAGTACGCAAAAGAAGTATAAATGGCCAATGAGGATATGAAAAGATGCTCAACATCTTTAGCCATTAGGGAAATGTAAATCCAAATTGGGGATTCCATCCCATCCCAGTCAGAACAGCTTATCATCACGGATTAAAAAAAAAAAGAATTCTATCATAGAAGCAGGAAAAAGGTAACTCCTATATTGCTGGTAGACATGTAAACAAGTACAACCAGTACACAGAAAACTCAGTACACAGTACTGTACCCAGTACACAGATCACTCAGCAAAACAGAAATACCATTTAACCAGCTCTGCCTCTAAGTGTACTGCTGAAAGAATGAAAGACTGCAGACTGTAGCCACACATGCATACCCATGTTTACAGCAGTGTAGTTCACAGTAGCTAAGCTGAGGACACAGTCTAGATGCCCATCAACAAACGAATAGATAATGCGGTATAAATGGACTACTGTTCAGCCATAAAGAGGAACGAATAAAATCATGTCTTCTGAGGGAAAATAGATAAGACCTTTGGGCCATCACAGTAAGGGAAATAAGCCAGGCTTGTAAAACATATTGGGCTGTTTTTCTTATACAAAAACCCAAATAAATAAGTAAAAATAATGACAAAATTAGAAGACAGACTTTAGAGCAGAGAAATGAGATTGGGGGAGGGAGAGATAGGAGGGATGATATTTCCAAAATAAGCCTCAGCATTCTGTATCACTAACATGAGAGAGACAGAGACAGAGACAAAGCCAGAGACAGAAACTTCAAACACCTACATATGTATTATCTTGCAGTTCTGTTCATTAAAAGTTTACAGTGGGTCTCATCCAGACGAGCTCCCTTAAAGCGTTGGCAGAGTCACACGAGGGAGAAACCATCTTCTTGCCTCTTCCAGCTTCTAGGCATTGTGTCGTCCCTTGACGTGGGACTCTTGCATCCCAGTGGCCATTCCATGTCACAGTGTTATTCTTTTTAGAACTGTTCTGTCTCTACCAGTAGCCATGGAAAGTCCTAGGGTAACCGCTACATTGTAATGCCAGCTTAATTCCATCTACACCATAATTTATCCACAACCATGATTCCCCTTGATTATGGGTTCCAGGAAGCAGAACATGGGCATCTCTTGGGGACCACTGTTGTATCTACCACAGCGCTTACAAACAAAAAAGAGGAAGGACACAAGAAGAAATCAGATTGAATGGACACAATGGAAATGTAGCATTGGTAACAGTAATAAAACTAGATATATTTAAAACTGGTGAATTAGACTGTAAGACTGAGGAAATTGTAAGACAAACATCTTCTACTCATTTCTATTAGTTAACCTCAAGTACATGCATATACACACACTAATAGGTAGTTAGCTATTGCCACCACTGACATACTGCTATTTACTAATAGCAAAATAAATAGTGCCAGGTGTGGTGGCACATGACTGTAATCCCAACACTCTGGGAGGTTGGGCAGGAGGATCTCAAATTCAAGCCCAATCTTAACAATTTGGTTAAAAAGAGCTTGTCTCAAAAAAAAATTTTTTTTTTTAAGGCAGGGGCTAAAGCTCAGTGAGAAGGCCCTGAGTTTAATCCCCAATACTGCAAAATATATTAATAAGGCAAATGTGTTGCTTATGCAGCGTTTGTAGAAATAGATCCAATCTTGTCTCCTTGCCTGGAAAAAGTGTTTCGTTTTTTGCCTCTTTGTTCCTAGCTCAGCTCTAACATGCTAATATTTCTAGGGATATGTTGAAAGTCATGATCCCTACCTCCTCAATCGAAATCATCACTGTGCAAGGACCAATGATGATCGCAATAGTGCACGACCTCCCTGGGGTCCCACTGACCTGAACCAAGATGAGCCTGGTAGACACTGCAAGAAGAAAGCCTGAGAAACTGTAACAGATGATACATTGTATCAATTAGAGAAGTTCAGCAGTTAACTAAGTAACTCAGCAGGGGACCAGGGTCCTTACTTTGTAAACATCCTCATCCTGTGCAAGGGGAGGACACTCAGATTCTGTGAGTATTTCATCTGCCCCAGGGTAGTACTCTGCTTACAATAGGAGAGAAAAAAAACCTTGCTCCTCCCTTCTATTTTTGCTCTTATTGCTATTGCTGTCTTCTGACACCTTGAATTGTTGCCCCTCAGCCATACCACCCTGCCTTGGAGCCAGCTGATTATGAGCTGAAACCTCCACAAACTGTGTGTTAAATAAACCTTTCCTTCCTTAATTTTGGGTGTCAGATATTTTGTCTCAGCAACAGAGAACCGTAACCAAGACAGAAACTGTTATGGTTTGTGTCTGGATGTCCCCCCAAAGCTTCATGAGGTCATGGGGCAGGGAGCTTCTAGAGTTTGTGACTGATTCATGGTCCAGTGCTAGGATTAGGGTGTGAGTACTGCACCAGCCATACGGTGGGTGGCCTACATGTAATATAAGGGACAGAAAGCATCTTGCATGCTTCTCCCTCTTTGTTCTTGTTGCCTTTGCTGTTTTCTGACACCATGAACTTTGTCCTCTGCCACATAGCACCCTGCCATGGAGATAGATGAGTATGGGCTAATACCTCCACAAACTGCAAGCTAAATAAAACTTTCCTCCCTCATTTTGAGTGTTGAGTGTTTTGTATCAGCAACAAGAGAAAAATAAGACTGAATGCATTCCCTATGGCTCATCACCCATTTTGCTGAAGGAAATTCCTTGGCTAAATTTCATGGAAGAGGCCGGGGATATAGCTTGTGGCACAAGTGCCTGCCTGGGAAGTGTGTGGTTGTGAGTTCAATACCTCCTCCTGTACCAAAAAATACTTTTTTTTCATGGAAAATTGTCTGGAGAGTGAAGTTCCCTGGAGTTTTCAGAATCAACTTCTGTTCATCTTCTTAAATCTATCAGGAAATCTCTCTAAAGTATATTACACAAGAATAATCATACTGAGTCAATACTGCATGAATATAATAGCCTAAAATAAATTATTCATTCCCTTACCTTTTAAAGAGTACTCCAAAAGCAATTTTAATATGTTTTTCTTTGGCTGTGAACCTCAGTTCTTTTATGGTTCTGTACAGCAGATAGAATATCAACCCTCTTTTGTATGTTTATGCCATTTTAAAAAGAGCTTGGGTTATTTTGTTTTGTTTTTTGCCTTTTCTGTTTGTGTCTGTGGTCACTTTTTTTATTCTGGTTTTGCCATGTGGCTTCGTTGAGCAGCTTTGTTCTCCTTCTCATTTGCTGTGGAAATAGTAGCTAGGATACCAATCTAGTCTGAATTTGAAGAAAAATTAGGTTAAACGGGATCCTAATAAAGATTTCTCTTACAAGTGAAGAGTGTGAGATTTAAGATGAAGCCAGAGTGACAGTGCACATAGGACTGCTGATTCCCTCTGGGATTCATGGCTGGCTGTCATCTATTTGGCTACTTAGAAGCTATTTTTATCTCTGCTGTTTTTGTTCTGAATAGGTTAGTGTAAGATAATTATATTTTGGCAAGATGAAATACTACTACATTTTTAAACGTGCCAAGTCTTGAGATGGAATAAAAGAAGGGGGTCTCCATCCCGTAATTAAACCCAAAGCCATGCTTACAGCAACTTGAAAGAAAACCAGGCCTGTGACATAAATGTTCACTAACAGGAGAATAAGCAAACTGTAATTCATCCATACAATGAATGCCGTGTAGCTATGATACTGTTCATTTTCACATTGTGTGGTTGAGGCAGAAGTGGTGATGGAAAGTGTTTTTTTTTCCACTGGTTCTGCAAGATAACAGTTTTGAGATACCTTTCATAAGGCCTCTCCAGACTTGCCTAAGCACACAGGCGGGTGGAATAGAGCCAGGGCCAGAGGACGGGGACTGTGAGATGTTAATACAGACACTGGGTCAGTCATGAGCTATTTGAACGGACCAAGGCACATACTTGTATGGAAATTGCATTCTCTGGGAGGAGATTGTATTGCACGTAGAATGCAGAGAGCTAAAAAGAAAAGCAGGTACTGGTTCTGGAAAATGCCAGCGGCCCCTAACTGACGACTGGAGGGTGCCAGAAACAGAACGCAAGGGAGAAGAGTAGGAGGATCCTGTGTAGCTGGAAACGTGGAAGCCAGCATCTAGCTGCAGGTAAGACTGAATTCTGGGCAGGAATACTACAACAAAAATTCAGTGTTATGAGTAGTAAAAGCTACATGTCATATCTAACATGCCATGTGTTTTAAATTCATATTCCACTCAATTCCTCCTAAAATCTCCCAAAAAATCCTTAATTGCCCCCAGAAGTTTTTATTTTTCTGTTTGGGGGATAAAGAACTAAGGTAAACAGAAAACATATGACATATACAAAGTCACAAAGCTTATGCATTAATCAGCTTTGGCTGCCTCAATGGAACATCCCGGATTGAGTGGCTTAAGCAACAGAAATTTACTTTCTTGGTTTTGGAGGCTCCAAGTCCAAGACCAAGGTGCTGTGCACTTAGTTTATGATAGGCCCCTCTCTCTGGCTTGCAGACAGCGATCACCTTACTGTGTCCTCAAATAGCCTCTTCACTGTGTTCTTGTTAAATTAAAAGATGTTCCTGGTTTCTCTTCCTCTTTTATAAAGATATCTAGTACTATCAGATTAGGGCCATGGCCATATGACTACAATATACCATAATTACCTCCTCATCTCCAAATATAATCACGTTGGGTGTTGGGACTTCCACAGATGGATTTGAGGGGACACAAGTCTGTCCATGAGAGCTAATAAGTAGCAAGCACAGACAGTATGACTCCAGGGTCTAATATTCTTTTTATAAATGTTGCATGTTTATATTTATGTTATTGAGGTATAATCTAAATATTACAGTTCAATGTGCACTACCTCTAACCACCACACCCAACCAGACAATGTGACAGCAGGAAGGCTGCCACTGGCACCAGGATCATCCTAAGAATGGTGGACACGGGCCACCTAGGCCTTGAGCTCTCTCTGTACCTGTCCTGTGTGGGACTCCTGCCTGGCCAGGCTTGTGTTCTGCCGCTCCACTATAAATCCCAGAAGGCCAGCCCTTGCAATCCATGTTCCCAGGGCTCAAAAGAAAGGCTCACAGTGGCTTCTCACCAGAAGACCCTAGTGCACCCCGTTTGATAAAAACGCACCTTCTGCTGTTGATTTCCAGCTTAGACGTGGTGGTGGCTTCCTCCTGTTGCTTTCTTCTGGGTGCTCTCATGGCTTCTTCCTCTTCCATCCCCTATAAAACCAGTTCCCTACATTAACTTCCTTTTGTGCGAAATACTTGGTGCAATGTCTCTCTCCCTGAGGACATCTTTCTAGCGTGCTATGACTGGCTAGACACGGGCAATTCCAGACGTACGGCAGGAGCCCATGCACGGGGCTGCAAGCCGAGGACTCTCAGGAGGAAATCTCTCCAAGAAAAGCCCAGCAGTTGTGTTTGCTTTCAGTCTTCACTTGTTGACACCTTGTTGGTCTATCTTAACTACTTACTGGCTCACCTGTTTTTCAGACAGATCTCTGCAAGCTGTCACATCTTGAGATGCCTTTATCGCCTGCTTTTTCAACATCATCATGACAATAAGCTACTATTTGGGTTTGTCAAACTGCCACATCTTTTCAAAACCATGCTTGTCTATATGAAATGGTTGGGAAATAAAAGACTGACAGAGGAACATCTGTCCCTGCGGAGCTTTCGAAGGCCTGGAGGTATCCCCAGGGATCTTGCCAATCCTGCCAATAAGCTTGAGGGTGAGGGTAGAAGGAAATCACAGAGGCTTAGCAGCCAAATGCCCAAAGCCTGGATCACTCCGTGGCACACTCTGGCTAACTGTAGAATCCATATTGTGTCAACCGCCATGATGATTGCAGAAGGACCTCCATCTCTGGTTTGGCTGCAAAACTAAATCTTGCCTTCCAAAGCCTCTGGCTTTAGGAGAAAGTACCAGAAGGCAGGCTGCATCCCTGGCTAGCTGCCCTGCACGCTGGGGATTTCTCCAGAACCACAACAGTTATGAGTCAAGTTTCTTTTCCTTGCTCACAGCACTGAAGCAATGGGCTGCTGGCCTGCCCTCATCTTGGGAATACAAGGGCTGCCCCCGGGAGTAAAGGAACGCAGAGGGTTCCCACTTCAATCTGGGTGATAAATCACTCCAGCCAGAGAACCATCATGAAATGGCCTGGCAGCTAAAGGGAGAAACTTAACCCAAAAAAAGAAAGGAAGGAAGAAAGAATCTTATTAGTCACAGAGCTTTTCATCTGAAGCACAGAGCAGGCTTTTGCTTTCTGTGTGAATAACAAAATCACAGTACTGAACTGTATCAGTTCCTCAAACAAAAGCGACTTCCTAGAATGTAACAATTTGGGGTTTCTAGGTTGAATTTAGCTTTCACTACAGAAAAGCATAAATTACAAAGAGGGCCTGGGTACCCATAAATGAGTCAGAGAAGTAAACAAGCTTGTTATTCACTCAGGGAATTGCAGGCCAGGAGGCAGCTCCACTCTGTGTCAGTTGGACACCTGTGAACAAACAGCGCGGTTGCTGCCTAAGCTGGAATTTTCCCACAGCAACTTCAGACCTCCCGCCAAATGCCAGAGCTGCCTCTGAGATCTCTGAAAACAGGGCGACGACAAGGAGAAACCAAAAGAGATGTTTTATTCCAAAGCAAATCACAAAAGCTTAATCTTATTAGAGGAGAAGGGCCCCAAGGCACATTACTAAAGATAGCATTTTAAGAGTAATAAAATAGCTTTTGTGGAAAATTATTTAGGAAACAGAGAGGGGGGAAAAGAGAGCGATCATCATATGACAGGAATAAAATGTTCTACTCAAAAGTAAGAAGTGGGCACGGAATTGGCTGTGTTAACGTCACACAGCCCTAATCTGTGCCCTAAGCAATGAAGGCTACCTTCTCAAACTCTACCACCTACCTCGCCTCACCCACCTCCCGCAGCTCAACCCGCCCTTCCTCCTGAGCTCTCCTGGACCCTCAGAATCCTCCCAGAGAAGAGTTCCTGTAAATCACAGTGCTGCTTACTTCCTGTCTTTTCTGGCCCAGGACACCTAGGATTTTTACGGGGTAGGGGATGAGAAGGAGAAACCGCTTCCTCTTGTAGCTGATCGCACATACAGAAACATACTGTATACGTGACCTCTTTTTCACTGGCAAATCACAGCCTGTAGGCGGGAGAGCGTCATGTTTTTAAATGCTGACTTTCAAAAGTTGTGATTTCCACTTTCAATCAAAAGTAGCCATATGTCTAAAGAAGGCAAAAAGATATTTATGAAAATCCACATTCATTTTTTTTTTAAATTTCTAAAGTCTGAAGTTTCATTACATCTGGTCATAATTTTTTTTTTCTTTATCAGTACACCAAAAAATTTGGGAAGTGCTTTATCCAAATCACACTCTGGTTCCGATAGAAGTGAACATCTGCTTTCATCAGAGGTGGCTTCATGACATGCTTTGATGCGTAGAATCTGATAAAGGAGACTCATGGTGACTGCTAGACTTGGGCCTCAGGGGGCCTTGGACTTTTTATTCTGATCCTTGGGAGCCCCGAGGCTCATGTAAGGAGCCTCAGATCTTTCTGCCAGAAAGAGTCTCCCAGTTTCCTCCAAGTTGCTCTGCTGACAGGCAGCCCAGCACAAGGGAGGCCATGGTGGACCCTCCCACCCCAGCCCAGTCTAGTCAGCTCCTGAGGCGAAGCCTTTTCCAGGGTCCTGCTCACATTGTGGAGCCGCAGGATCCTAAGAAATTGACTGTCTTATGCTCCCGTGTTTGGAGTTAACTGGTTACATAACAGTAACTTCGCCAAATAGCTTCCTTGCTCCCTCCTTATTGGCAGTGAGTCTCAAAATACTGTCCTGACCAGCATTATCAGCAGCACATGGAAACTTGTTAAAAATGCAAAGTCTTGGTCTCCTACTAAAGGAGAAACTGGTGGGCCTGGGATTTAGCTCAGTAGTGTAAGTGCCTGCCTAGAAAGCACAAGGTTGAGAGTTTGATCCCTGGTACCAAAATAATAAATAAATGCAAAACTGGGGTGTAGCTCAGCACATCTTGCAGCAGATTCTGCTGCATGATTGAGTTTGAGAACTGCCATCCTAAACCGATGTTTAGGTGGTGTGCGTGGTCACCTAGAGAAAGAAGGGTCTGAGAGAATCCATCTGATTAAGTTCTAGCCAGCAAAAAATAAGCAGAGAAAAGTAAGAGGGAATTCTTTGTCCCTTTCACCTTCACACTGGCTGGAACTCAGATTGTGAGCCCCAGAAACTGTCTCAGGCCATAAGGTAATCCTGGGAAATGACTCTCCTCCACACAGCAGAGCAAGAGGATGGGCGGGCCCGAGGCCCGCATGACAGGGAGCTGTCATCTCAGCTCTGAACTGGCTGACATCCTCAGCACAGAGAGAATTCTGCCTTGTGTAAGTCCCTGTTGTTTTAATATTCTGTCTCACACAGTTAAGAGGACAGCTAACTAATGCACATCCTTAAAAAATCAGTCCTCTTTCCCCTCACCTGAGATGTTCTTTAATGCAAGGATATTTTATTTTCGTACTTCTTCCAAGTTACCTTTTAGATTTTTTTCATGTCTCTAGTTATTTATTAACTGTCTCCCTACTTGACCTGAAACTTAATGAAGGAAGTTTTGTTGTTTATCACTAAATTCCCAGCATCCAACATACTTTTACTGTCCTGACAGGCACCTGGTAAATATTTACTGGCCCAAGTGGACACATGGAAGGGTAGATGTAAGCACACCAGAGTTGGCCCAGGCAACCTTGATAAACTGAGCAAGCTTTAAAATCAATCAATTGTTCTTAGAATTGAGCATTCAACAAATTCTCCACTATCCACATCATGCTTCCAGTCCACATTTTAATCTAACTATGAAGCGGTAATGATACCTGTAATGGTTTATTTCTGGATGTCCCCCAAGAGCCTCACTTACTCATAGGCTGGGCCTCAGGAAGCTGATTGGATTATGAGGGCTTACAGCTGACTTGTAGTTAGGAGTTGGCACCTACTGAGAAGAGGTCACCTTCTGGTGGCTGAGAGTGTGGCCTGGAAGTGTCCAGTACTCCAGTTCTCCAGTCCCCCAGTCCATCTCTGCTTCCCAGCTGTAATGATGTAGCACCTTTTCCTCACCACGTCCCTCTGCCATGCTGCTCTGCCCTGGAGCCAGCAAACATCTGCAGACTGAAACATCTACAAACTTGAGCCAAAACAAACTTCTCCTCCTTTAAGTTGTGGGCATCAGGTACTATGTTCAGGCAACAAGAAAAGCGACTAAGACAGTAACCAATGATTTTAGACCCATTAAAATGTGTCAAAGACAAATTCTGATAGAGGAGCCTTCTACCATGTACTTCACCAGTATTTCTTAAACTTTCAAATTCATAGAAACAGAAAAAAAGTCTTAGAAACTATCACACCTAATGGAGCCTAAGGAGACATGGCATAAATGAAACAATATCCTTAATAGCATCCCACAACAGGAAAGGAGACCAGGCAAAAACCGAGGCATTCTGAATGAACAATGGACTTTGGGTAATAACAATTGTATAATCAGTATTGGCTCATTAACTATCACAGATGTTCCTTACTAGTGTAAGATGTTAACAGGGAAACTTCGGCTGGGATGAATCCAGGAGGGTATATAGAAACTTCTAGTACTATCTGCTTACTTTTCTGTGGGTCTCAAACTGTCTAAAAAACACAGTGAATCAAATGTTCCCATAAGGTCAACATTGAACCTAATCATTGAATTTGATTCAGCCCTTGTCCAACTGGATTTGTGATCAGAATTGTGGAAAGAATCAAGTTCGTGAACTGAGGCACCACTGTAGTCCATTCATAAAGAAATGTGCCAAAGACTGCTATGTAATTAACTCATATATTCAATCCAATCAAGATTGAGGTAAATATTATGATGAGCTCTGTGTTATAGTTACAAAAAAAAACTACATTAAGTTCTGTTTCCCCAAATCCTTGAAGCTTATACTACACATTTCTTCTGGATCAAAATTTATTCGATTAGGTTATTTAAATAAAATATATTGATTACTGTGTGCCATTGAAAGACTGATTGTAGGTGATTCTATGAGCAGAGTCAAAACTGGAAGAGAAGACAGGCTTTGCAGTCACCTACTGAAATTTAAAGCTCACAGGCGAACATTTTCAAGAACTTACAATTCTAGAATGTGTCATATTTGTATGTTGACAGTGCATGC